ACTCTATCCACTGAGCCAAACCGGTTTCGGCCAATTTGTATTTTACACTCAGTTCTAGCAAAACTGAGCGTTTCCTCAAGTTCATGGCTACACTAGCAGGATTGAGTCAGAGCTCAGAACAAGCAGCAGCTGGCACCCAGGCACTGCTGATCCTCATTATTCAGATGTGGTGTGTGTGTGCTGGTGGACACACACTGGGTGAGCCGGGCCTCCAGGCCTCTTCCTGGAAGGAGCCTTTGAACTCAGGCTCCTCATACTCGAGATGGGAGCTGGGCTCGTGCATGTGCAGTCCTTCTGGAATTAGAGTCTCTTTGCACTCACTGGTATGTGTGTGTGTGTGATGGGAGGGACGAGGTGTTGGGGGAGGACGGGACAGGGGCCTGGGACAGAAGTAGTTGGGGAGGTGTGGGAGGGTGGGTCGGCACTCTCTGCAGTCAATTTTTATTATCTTTTCCAGCTCCAAGTTTCCAGCCTTCTCTCGAATGTCTTTAAGTTACTGATGACTCACAAGGTGAGGCCCCTGGCAGAGCTGAGCTTCTGCTCCAGCCAGGCTGGAGGGGAGGTCTCTGGGGAAGCTGATGGGTGGCCACAGGGTCATGAGAAGTACTCTTATATGAGATCTCGTTTTTTAGAAACATTTTTGGTACCACTTCATTAGCACCAAGAGTGCTGCTTCTGTGTACTAACTAGGTACAGCAGGTTCTCCCTTTGTCACAATGTTGGTCTGTGTCTCAGTAAGGCTAAGCTGTCCAAGTATCTGTGATACTGAGCTGCAGAAAAATGGATTCACAGATGTAAACACCATCTAATGAAAGCTGTCACGCCCTTCCCCTCCTCAGTGCACATGAATGATGTGTGGTACTCATCTAAGTCATACTTATACAGCTTTCCTGAGCAGTGTAACCCCCTGAGTATGGACCGGCCCAAGAGGAGGTGCCTCTTGTCTTGTCGTGGTGTTTTCAGAGATGCCAGCACGTGGCCTCTGCCTCCTGCCCCAGTTCCTTGGAGGGACACGGCCTCACAGTTCTCCACCTTGGCCTTTGTCTCCTTGTGATCGAGTGTGGTCTTGGGTTATTCTTCAAAGTAAAACTGTTAGCCAAGGGTCTAAGGAGTTGAGGGCAGGGAAGATTCTTGTCTGAAGATGGTCTTTCCCATTGTTTCTCATGAGATTCTGCAATTCGATAATGAAATACTGCATTTGGCAAGGATCATAACATAGAATTAAGAGTCAGAAAGGTGGCTGGTCAGAAGAATGATCCTTATTTAGATTTACAGTTTCTGGTATATCATTGAGATACTAATTTTATTTTTAAGTCATATGAACACACGCACGTGCGTGCACACACAGACACACACACACACACACACACACCCTAGAAAAGTACATACCACATCCCCCAGATTTTTCCTTAGTAATACTAGTGGACGGGAGATTGGGTGAGTAGATGAGATGGTGGGTAAAATGATGGGGTAGGGAAAAGAGGGTCAGGTAGACAGTAAAATCACATGGACAGGTACCGGAGGCTGAGAGCAGACAGCTACATGGTTATCCAGACTCTATATATTAATGGGCTTTGGGAAGAACCACTTATTTTCTCTTTCAGGTAAAGCTTGAGAGCAACTTCGCCTCCATTGTGTTTGCCATCATGGTGCTCGAGGGGCTTGGTCGCTCACTGGACCCCAAACTGGACATCCTGGAGGCAGCCAAGCCCTTCCTGCTGTAAGGGCCAGTGTCTTCCCCCTGACCGGCAGTGGGCATGCTGCAGGCGTGCAGTGGGCCTTCCTCTCGGAACTGAAGACTGCTCCCAACAGCCTCTCCTGGGGAAGCGAGAACACTTACAAATTGTGATGTGTGAAGGGCATGCATTGCTTTTCTCTCTGATTTGGCTTTAGGCATCTGTTTAAATAGCTTTGTGTTACTTGGGGAAGTAAAGGGAGGGAAGGTTCCTATCTATTCAGTTATAGGAGCTGGGCCTGGTGGGAGACTATTTCAGGGAAAAGGTTCTGTGGAGGAGGACAAATAAACTCAAATTATTTTGTTTTCTTCTTTTTCTCTCTTCTTAACCCTCTGTAATCCCTCAACAGCTGGGTCCTCCTGGCCTCTGATAATTAAGTTAGAAAATGTCACAGTATCTTGTAGACCCATGGCTTCTAGTTTTTTAATGTACCCTTATTGGTAAAAAGTTGAATATATTTTTGTACACATACATATATAATTTATTTATATATATTATGCAGGTGATACCATCACTAGCAAATCTGGAGGCGCAATGTACACTTAGGGGGCAAATTTCACTGTATTTCAAATGATCTTCTTTATACTTTTAAATATTTTTGCTAACTCCTTGCTAAATTCTATTACAAGGGGGAAAAGGGAAAGCAACAATTAACATGGCTGGTACCGTAGGGACAGGAGCAGAATCAGCTCTGCCCTCTTCTCCTGTGCTTGCATATTAGTATTCAGACTGTGGTTCCTCTGAGCAATGTTCAGGCCCTTGTGCATTTGTCTAGGGCTAATTTAGGTTATTAATATGTAGGTAATATAATCAGCCTCTTAACCAGGGCTTGAACCTGCAAGAGCACCCGTGACACTCTAGCAGTGGATTAAGGGGTGGTGGGCACTGCCTGCCCCTCTGTGCCAGGCCCACCCACAGACTGCTCCTTCAAAGTTGACCTGACATGTGGCTGGTCCACATGGACTAAGAAGATCCTAGGGCAGTGATGGCGAACCTTTTGAGCTCGGCGTGTCAGCATTTTGAAAAACCCTAACTTAACTCTGGTGCCGTGTCACATATAGAAATTTTTTGATATTTGCAACCACAGTAAAACAAAGACTTATATTTTTGATATTTATTTTATATATTTAAATGCCATTTAACAAAGAAAAATCAACCAAAAAAGTGAGTTCGCGTGTCACCTCTGACACGCGCGTCACCTCTGACACGTGTGTCATAGGTTCGCCATCACTGTCCTAGGGTCAGATTGTAGAGTGGATATTGGTAAAGCTTAAATTTATTAACTTAATAAATTTAGTTTTTTAATGTACCCTTATTGGTAAAAAGTTGAATATATTTTTGTACACATACATATATAATTTATTTATATATATTATGCAGGTGATACCATCACTAGCAAATCTGGTGGCCTGCACCTTCTCGCATAAATAAAATAGTATTTTCTCTCTCTCCCAGTGGATTCTGTTGCTCATTTTGGAGACCACTGCTTTAGACAGTGAGTAAAAAGTCAAGCCTCCCTGTTCTCTGAAATCCTCTGGCCACAGGACTAGATTCTTCCACTCTACTTCTCAAGGATAAAGTTTTTCGTTTCTGTCTTTGAGAGAGCAAGTAATGTTTAGTTGGGCAGATTCCTTTGGTGAAGTTTTCCCAGAGGGGTGGAGATGTTATTTTTACTTCCCAATCTGGAGGGGAGGGCATCTAACCAGGAAGAGAGGTACTGTGGTGGCTCCAGGTAGCTGGGAAAGGGAAGTGGCACTGTTCAGCTTCCTCCTCATAGGCACACCAGTCAGACACACAGCCCCTGTGCCACATACACATGGACGTACACTGTGGGACAAGAGAGGGGGCACACACAGAGTACGTGCTACCCTGAGCCTACACCAGCACAACCAAGCCTTTCCTTATAGCCAATGGATTTAATCAAGCCATCTGTGGTATATATTATTTATCACTGCATACAAACTACCCCAAAACTTACTGGCTGGAACAACATTTTTTAAAGCATCTATAATAATAAAAGCGTAATATACTAATTAGACCAGATGTCCTTCCTTCCAGATAAAGCCGTGGCAGAGGCAGAAGCGGCAGAGGCCCCCGGCTGCAGCCATGGCATCCGCGGGTGGGGGCCGGGGCCAAAGTAAGTTCGTGTGTGTGTGTGTGTGTACACACACACATACTAGAGGCCTGATGCACGGATTCATGCATCCGTGGGGCCCCTTGGCCTGGCCTGCACCTTCTCGCAATCCAAGACCCCTCAGGGATTATCAGAGTTGGTTTCAGCCCGATCCCCAGAGGCCAGGCCAAGGGACCCCACCAGTGTACGATCAGGGCCGGGGAGGGACCTTGGGAGGGCTCCAGAGCATGTCTGGCCTGTCTTGCCCACTCCTGATTGGCCGGATCCCAGCAGCAAGCTAACCTACTGGTTGGAGTGTCTGCCCCCTAGTGGTCAGTGCGCATCATAGCAACTGGTTGAACAGTTAAGACACTTAGCATATTAGGCTTTTATTATATAGGATATATATGCTAGAGGCCTGATGCACATATTAGTGCACAGAGGGGTGGGGGTCCCTCAGCCTGGCCTGCACCCTCTCCAATCGGAGACATCCCTCTCACAATCCAGGACCGCTGGCTCCTAACCTCTCACCTGCCTGCCTGCCTGATCACCCCTAACCTCCTCTGCCTGCCTGCCTGATCACACCTAACCTTTTTTCCTGCTTGATCACCCCTAACTACCTCTGCCAGCCTGATGCCTCTAACTGCTCTCCCCTGCCAGCCTGATCGCCCCTAACCCCCTCTGCCTGCCGGCCTGATCGTCCCTAACTGCTCTCCCCTTCCAGCCTGATCGCCCCTAACCACCTCTCCCTGCCAGCCTGATTGCCCCTAACCCCTCTGCCTGCCAGCCTGATTGCCCCTAACTGCTCTCCCCTACCAGCCTGATTGCCCCTGACCGACTCTGCCTTGGCCCCCGCCACCATGGCTTTGTCCAGAAGGACGTCCAGAAGACGTCTAGTCTATCTGGTCTAATTAGCATATTACCCTTTTATTAGTATAGATATTTTTTATTAATTTTTAGGGAGGAAGTGAGAGGGATAGAGAGAAAGATCCAGTGATGAGAGAGAAACATCATCGATTTGCATGCCCCCTACTGGGGATCAAGCCCACAACAAAGGCATGTGCCCTGACTGGGAATTGAACCATGACCTCCTGGTTCATGGGTCAACGTTCAACCACTGAGCCACACTGGCCAGGCAGAATATTTATTACCTCACAGTGTCCAAAATCTGGGTACAGCTTAGCTGCATCTTCTGCTCAGAGTCTTGCCCAAACATGTTTTTTAATCCTCACCCGTGGATATGATTTCTAGAGAGAGTGGACGGGAGGGGAAGAGAGAGAAAAACATTGACGTAAGAGAAGCACATGGATTGGCTGCCTCCCCCATGCACCCACCCCTACCAGGGCTGGGAAACCTTGACCAGGAATCTCACCTGCTACCCTTCGGTCTGCAGGCCAATGCTTTAACCACTGAGCAACTGACCAGGGCTGTACATTTTGAGGCTCTACTATGGTGGGTCTGATACCATGCTCAATTGTGTGATTATTGGCATGACTCATTTCCTTGTGGGCTGTTGGATTATGGCCTCAGTTTCTTAGGTGTAAATATTTCTCTTCTGCATCCAGTGAGGCTAGAGAGTGGTCTGGTTCCTGAGTAGGGGTTGCTGGGGATTGAGGGATTGAGAAAATGAAAGAGACAGACACAGAGATGGAAGGAAAAAGCTGGGGTCAGGTGGGACCATGTCCTCTGATGGAGAGACAGGGACCCAGAGCCAATACAGCGTGTTTATTTTATACAGCAAAAACCAGGAAGTTTTACTAAAGGTCAAGACAAAGGAGATTATGTGCATTCTTGGGTGGGCCTGAGTAGGACTCATTCCTAGTGCTTGGCTGGATTTAGATAACGAAACCCACCCCCTGGCACCTGGGCTGAAGGTCAAGCTGACAACACTCCTGCCTCTGGCAAGGTGTGTTTCCAGGATGTGGCTCTGCCAACGCCACTGGATTCAGCTGACGGTAATTAAAGAAATGCTCATGTGCCTTCCCAGGCTCTCTACACTCTGGAGCCATTACAAAATGAACACAGGCTGTGTTGAAGAGGTTAAATGGTTAATGGGTGTGCTTTAATATACGTAATTAGCTGATTTCTAAAACAAGAATTTTTAATGCTTTAATAGTCATCTTTTTAAGGAGAAAAGCTACTTTACTGGGTATAAGTTGATAAAGTGGCAGCATGCTGTTTCCCTGAAGAGAAATCATCGCTCCATCTCCTCCAAAGTATTTCAGGTTTGTTTCAGTGTGACCAAAACCACTGGAAAGATGTTTCTTTCCAAGACACACAAGGAAAGTGAGATCAAGCAAGGTTTTAAGCGTAGGAAATTCAATAAACATGAAGTTTTGTGAACAGATATTTTTCCTCATCCCTTTGCTTTGTTTTCCAGATATAGAATAGGTTCTTGATTTGGGATTAGATGCTCAATGTGGGCCATAAAAAAAAAAATTCTTTATTATTGAAAGTATTACATATATCTCCTTCTTTACCCCATAGACTCCCTCCTGCACGCCCTAGGACCTCAGAGATGTGGGCCATTTAGAGTCTGTTCTTACAGTCTGTCAAAATTTGACTGGGAATTTGATTTGCATTTAGAAGGTGAGAGCTCAGGGCCAGGGCTTGGCATTCCTTCCCTCGCCCTCAATTTTTTATTTTTAAAAATATCTTTTCACTGATTTCAGAGAGAAAGAAGGAGAGAGATGATCAAGCCCACAATCCAGGTATAAGTCCTGACCGGGAATTGAACCTCCTCCTGGTTCATAGGTTGATGCTCATCTACTGAGCCATGCCAGCTGGGCTCTCTCACCTTCTAAAATGCATCCATTCAAATGGGGTGCTCATCTTAGAACCCAAAAGAGGGCCACTGTGTAATCTGCAAAAGGCAGTAAGAGATATTTGCCCTTGTAGCTCTCAGAGCATGTCTGCAAGACAAATGTGTCATTGCTACAGTCAGCAGTTTAGTGATTGGAACCATAAAATGGTTTTTATAGTAAAAAAATCATCATTTGTGATGTAAAATATTAAAGCTCCAATGGCTACAGATCAATACTGCTTTAAATACAAGCAAGCATTGAAGTTAAAACTTTTTGTTTCAAAATTTGGCAAGAAAGCCGAAACCGGTTTGGCTCAGTGGATAGAGCGTCGGCCTGTGGACTGAAGGGTCCCAGGTTCGATTCCGGTCAAGGGCATGTGCCTGGGTTGCAGGCACATCCCCAGTGGGGGTTGTGCAGGAAGCGGCTGATTGATGTTTCTCTCTCATCGATGTTTCTGGCTTTCTATCTCTCCCTTCCTCTCTGTAAAAAATCAATAAAATATATTAAAAAAAAATTCAGCAAGAAAGATGGGGAGCCCTGACCGGTTTGGCTCAGTGGATAGTGTTGGCTTATGAACTGAAGGGTGCCCTGGTTGAGGGCACATGCCTGGGTTGCAGGCTTGATCTCCAGTGGGGGGCATGCAGGAGGTAGCCGATAAATGATTCTCTCTCATCATTGATGTTCCTATCTCTCCCTTCCTCTCTGAAATAAAAATATCTTTTAAAAATAAATTAAAAAAAATAAACACTCTCTTACCAAAAACAAACAAACAAAATGATGGAGAAGGTGAATGAATTTTTGTTACCCTGAACCTGAATCAAACTTTTGCTACCAGGAAAGGAAGGTACAATAAAGGAATAAAAATTCCCTGAGGCCGAAACCGGTTTGGCTCAGTGGATAGAGCGTCGGCCTGCGGACTGAAGGGTCCCAGGTTCGATTCCGGTCGGGGGCATGTGCCTGGGTTGCGGGCGAGTCCCCGGTGGGGGGTGTGCAGGAGGCAGCTGATTGATGTTTCTGACTCTCTATCTCCCTTCCTCTCTGTAAAAAAATCAATAAAATATATTTTTTTAAAAAAAAATTCCCTGAGTACATGCTGTGGGCCAGTCAGTATCTGTGGATTCCTAAATGACTCAAATTAAGATGAGGGGCACTGATGTTCAGAGAAATAAAGTGAGTTGTCCGAATTTCTAGAGCTAATAATTGGCAGAGCTGAGGTCTGAACTCCAGATCTTCACTCCCAAGTTCCCTGCTCTTTTTTGTTTAAGCTGTGCTTTGTTTTTGTGGCTTTGGAATCATAGCATTGTTCTTTGCTGGGAGCCGTATGGCTTGGGCAGCCAGTTCTCTAGGAAGATAGCAAAATTTCTATGTTAGTGTTTTGTAGCTATCACCAGGAAGGGTAAGTGGCCAGTGGTAGTTCAGACAAAGGCAGACTGTTGCCTATCAAGTGGAAAGTCCTCATCCAGAGAATAGCGGATTCTTTCCTCTAATTTGCATACTAAGAGGGCAGGAGAACAGGGCCAGAGGGTAAATCAGTAAGGCTGTTCTCCAGGGCCTGGGGCAGCTTAGCAATCTTAAGCTTTCTGTGGGCCACACTCCAGGGACAGGTTTCTTGTTAGAGGACACATGGCCCCTATCTTGGCACAGGAGAGACATCACTTATATTCAATTACCCTCACTTTTCTACATTTCTCTCCATAAGTATCCCATTTTTTCATGCTTGTGACTATAAATGTGAGATCTTTGGTGTTCAGCAAGGGTCCCATTTCTTTTCTTTTTTAAAAAATATATTTTATTGATTTTTTACAGAGAGGAAGGGAGAGAGATAGAGAGTTAGAAACATCGATGAGAGAGAAACATCGATCAGCTGCCTCCTGCACGCCCCTCACTGGGGATGTGCCCGCAACCCAGGTAGGTACATGCCCTTGACCGGAATCGAACCTGGGACCTTTCAGTCCGCAGGCCGACGCTCTATCCACTGAGCCAAACCGGTTTCGGCAAGGGTCCCATTTCAAAATTGAAATCGCCAAGGTTAGGCTGGCAGACTAAGTTTTATAATTTAATCAAACCTGGAGGTGCTTAGGAAAACTAAAGTCTATAAATGGAGACCTTAAGAATTTGGGGAGGGGCGTTGAGCGACACTAGGATTTTGTAAAAGGCAATATGCAGAGACAAAAGCCAAGAATCCAGGACTGGCTCAGGGTCACGGAAGTAGGAGCATGAACTGGAGGCTGCTAAGGTTCGGACTCCTTGGCCCTACTCCAGACTTAATCAGGGCACGTGGGCTCCTCGGGTGACTGATGCCACCAGTCCGTCCATGTCCTGATATTTGGGAACCATTGTCTGCCGGGTGGTAAAGTTCAAGTTTGCAGAACAACAATAAAACAAGGAAGACTTAAACATGTCGCTGTGAGCCTCTTGCAGGAGAGAGTAAAAAACACTAGCTTTGGGAAGGACCACTGGTTCACAAAGGATTTGCCAACTGAAAGGAAGGCAGCTAATTCAGGAGGAGCAGGCCGAGGAGCAGGTCCAGGTTGGGAAAATGCCATGTAGATCAGCACCGGTGGGCAGGCGCGAGTTCCGACTCGGTGTTGGTTTGCCAGCGCGCGCGAAACAACGTGCTCCCAAAGCCGGGTGCTCAGGCCGGGCTCCTGGGCGCCCTCACCTCCCTCCGCGCGGCCTCCCAGTCCCCGAGGAAGCGCGCGGCTTCGCCCAGCCACGTCCCAGCCTCACTTAGCAACGCGTAGGGCCGCCCTCACTCGCCTTCTCACCCTCTGGACCACAGCACGCCGAGTCCCTCCAGGCGCGCAGCACGCCACAGCGAAGAGACCGAGATGCTAACTTGAGACCGAAACCTTGGCTTCCCTCCCGCTGACACCATCCGGAAGGAGATGGGCGGAGCGACGCCGCTGACCTTCAGGGGCGGGGCGCCGGGAGGAAGTGACGTAACGCAGCGGTGCGGCCTCCCGGCGGTGGGGGGGCCTCA